TGGGCTGCCCCGATTGGCCAGTGGCTTTCGCACCTCAGCCAGTTAGCATGCAGGAAACCGCTTGATTGGCCAGAAGACCCCCACAAGCATGCCATCACCCCTGGCTGGGGCAGCCCTGGCCGCTGATGGTCCCTCTCGCTCCCCTGCAGGTACCTGACAGGGGACCAGTTCTCCAGCGAGTCCTCCCTGGAGGCGTACGCCCGCTGCCTACGCATGGGCTGCCGCTGCATCGAGCGTGAGTCCCCCCAGCACCCAGCGGTGATGCTCAGTCTCTTCCGGCACCCCACGGTCCATCAGACAGACCGTCCCTTGCACCCATCCCATGGCACTGGGTTGGGGTGGTCTCCCATGTCCTTTGGGGGCCCAGAAACACAGTCCCCAGTGCACAGTCAGTGACCAGCATGCATTAACTGAGGTGTCTCCTCACTCAGTGGACTGCTGGGATGGCCCAGATGATCTCCCCATCATCTACCACGGCCACACGCTCACCTCCAAGATCAAGTTCCTCGACGTGCTGCACACCATCAAGGAGCATGCATTTGTCACCTCTGAGTAAGCCCCAGCCCCCCAACAACGCCCCAATTCTGGGACAGACAGGCAACCTCTACTCGAATTCCCTTCTCCTTCGCCTTCATCCCAAGCCACCATTCTCACCTGCTTCCTCCAGGTTCCCCATCATCCTCTCCATCGAAGACCACTGCAGCATCGTCCAGCAGAGGAACATGGCCTCCCACTTCAAGAAGGTCTTCGGGGACATGCTACTCACCAAGCCGGTGGACATCAATGCCGATGAGCTTCCATCACCCACCCAGCTCAAGAAGAAGATCTTAATCAAGGTGTGGGGCAGGCACCATCCCAAGCCGTCTCTTTGCGGGAGGGACAAGGACCATGCTGGGCTGGGAGGGATGGTGATTCTTCCAAATCTTGGGACTTAGGAAGGAGTGATATCCCTCCGTGCGCAAGTAGGACATCTCTCCAATGTCCTACTGCAAGAGACGGCCAAGAGGAACAGGGGGTGGTGGAGAGGTACCTGCAGGAGCTCAAGCATGGCCTGAGGGCTGGGAGCTCAGTATGACAGGGACATCATGCCCACCACTGAGCTCTCCTCCCTGGGCTGTCCCCAGCACAAGAAGCTGGTCGAAGGGAACCTGTACGAGGAGGTCTCCACTGCCAGTTACTCAGAGAACGACATCAGCAACTCCATCAAGAATGGCATCCTCTATCTCGAAGACCCCATCGACCACGTAAGTGTCTCCCTGCTGATGGCAGCCAGGGGCTGAACAGGGTCTGTTGGAGGGCAATGAGCATTGGGGTTTGGGGTGGGCACGGGCCACAGGGTTTCCTAGACCATTGCAATGCCATGGGGCAATGGGGCAGGGGCAGAATCCGAGGTCTCAAAGCTCCATCCCTCCATGCCACCATCCTCCCCACCCTGGTGATGCTCTTCTTCCTTCCCAGACCTGGAGTCCCCATTATTTTGTCCTGACAAGCAACAAGATCTACTACTCAGAGGAGACATCCCGTTACCAGTTCAATGAGGATGAGGAGGAGGTGGAGCAGAAGGAGGTGCGTGAGGGGCAGGATGCATCCATGGGGCAGGGGGATTTAGGGAGGACTCTGTGGGGAGGGCAAGAGGGTGGCAACACCTGTTTTGGGGGGAACTTGCAGGAGTTCAACAACAATGAGCTTCACTTCACGGAGAAGTGGTTCCATGGGAAGCTGGGAGGTGGTCGCGACGGGCGGCAGATCGCCGAGAAGCTGCTGCATGAGTACTGCACCGAGACAGGTGGCAAGGACGGCACGTTCCTGGTGCGCGAGAGCGAGACCTTCGTGGGCGACTACACCCTCTCCTTCTGGTAGGAGCCCCAGGGGGGAGGCAGGATCCCACCTTCCCTCAGCCAGGGGATGGTCCTCCAGCCAATCCCTGGTTTGGTGGCTGGAATGGCATTTTTGGGGGGAAACACCACTTTTTTGCACGGCACGTGGACCCTCAAGCGCGGGATGGTGGGGACATGGATCTGAACTGACCCACCCCCACCTTCTCCCCACCGCCACGGCAGGAGGTCCA